CGGCACATTACAAGGCTGACAAGAGGGGTCAGGTGCACCTCGCAGGCGCCTTTAATTGGCTCTCTTCCGCACGGGAAACTATTCCGGCAGACAAGCCTTCTCTTTTCTTCACCTTTCAAGCGCACGTTTTTCTCTCTTAACCAGTGTGAGGCTGAAAAATACCTTGCCAATTTGCAATCGTGCGTGCAGTGTCTGGATATCCTAGACGGGGAGGCTGCATTCCCATTGCCAGCGGAGAACTGGCTGCACTGGTTTCCCGTCCCTTTCTCAATCCAGTTCAAGGAAGCCCTTCACAGTTTAGGAGTGAAGGACCTGTTGCATCTATAACAGTGGTTCTCAACCTTCCGAATGCCGCGACCCCTTAATACAGTTCCCCATGTTGTGGTGACCCCCCAACCATCACATTCTTTTGCTACGTCATAACCCTAATTTTGCTCCTGTTATGAAACATACTTTGGGAGTTGTAGTTGTTGGGATTTATGGTTCACCTACAATCAAAGAGTATTCTGAACTCCACCAGCGATGGAATTGGGCCAAACTTGGCACACAGGACTCCCCTGACCAACAGAAAACACTGGAAGGGTTTGGTGGGCATTGACCTTGAGTTTTGGAGTTGTAGTTCACCTACAGAGAGCAGTATGGGCTCAAACAATGGTGGATCTGGACCAAACTTGACACAAATACTCAGTATGTTAAATGTGAACACTGGGGGAGTTTGGGAAAATAGGCCTTGACATTTGGGAGTTGTAGTTGCTGGGATTTATAGTCCACCTACAATCAAAAAGCATTCTGAACCCACCAATGATAGAATTGGGCCAAACTTCCCACACAGGAACCCCCATGACCAACAGAAAATACTGTGTTTTCTGATGGTCTTTGGTGACCCCTCTGGCACCTCCTGGCAACCCCTCCAGGGGTCCCGACCCCCAGGTTGAGAAACACTGGTCTATAGGGTCCATAGGAGCTGAAACATGCATGCTTTGCAATCTTCGGAGGCCTTTGATGTCCCCTATAATCACAGAAACATTCCTTTTATTTAGCTTTTTAGGTGGCGCAGGTTAAGCCCTTGTGTTGGCAGGACTGCTGACCGACAGGTCGGCGGTTCGAATCTGGGGAGAGTGGGTGAGCTCCCTCTGTCAGCTCCAGCTCCCTGTGCGGGGACATGAGAAAAGCTTCCCACAAGGATGGTAAAAACATCTAACATCTGGGCAACATCCTTGCAGATGGCCAATTCTCTCAAACCAGAAACGACTTGCAGTTTCTCAAAAAAAAAATCGTAGCCTTTTATTATTATTTACTATTTCTTATGATATAGTTGTGGAAAGGGATTTAAAATCTGACTGAATCTTTTGGAAGGACTGGAGAGCAGCAGCAGGAGGACGATGAGTCAGGCTTTAGCACAGCAGGTTAACCGCCAGCTGCGGTAAATCTTGCCAACTGGAAGATTGACGGTTCGAAGTCCAGGTTAGGGTGAGCTCCTGGCCTTTCAGTCCAGCTCCTGCAAACCTAGCAGTTTTGAAAGCAGCAGTGTGATTAGATAAATAGGGTTAAGGAGGGAGGTATTCAAGGCACTGATAAGGAAAGGGCCGGGCTTTAGCACAGCAGGTTAACCGTCAGCTGCAGTAAATCTTGCCAACTGGAATTTTGACAATTCAAAGTCCAGGTCAGGTTGAGCTCCTGGCCTTTCAGTCCAGCTCCTGCCAACCTAGCAGTTTCAAAAACAGCAATGTGAGTAGCTAAATAGGTACCGCTTAAGGAGGGAGGTATTCAAGGCGTTGATAAGGAAAGGGCTGGGCTTTAGCACAGCAGGTTAACCACCAGCTATGGTAAATCTTGCCAACCGGAATTTTGACAATTCAAAGTCTGGGTCAGGGTGAGCTCCTGGCCTTTCAGTCCAGCTCCTGCCAACCTAGCAGTTTCAAAAACAGCAATGTGAGTGGATAAATAGGTACCGCTTAAGGAGGAAGGTATTGGGCCGGGCTATAGCACAGCAGGTTAACCACCAGCTGCAGTAAATCTTGCCAACCAGAAGATTGACAGTTGGAAGTCCGGGTCAGGGTGAGCTGCTGGCCTTTCAGTCCAGCTCCTGCCAACCTAGCAGTTTCGAAAACAGCAATATGAGTAGATAAATAGGGTTAAGGAGGGAGGTATTCAAGGCACTGAAAGGGAAAGGGCCGGGCTTTAGCGCAGCAGGTTAACCACCAGCTGTGGTAAATCATGCCAACCGGAAGATTGACAGTTCAAAGTCCGGGTCAGGGTGAGCTCTTGGCCTTTCAGTCCAGCTCCTGCCAACCTAGCAGTTTCAAAAACGGCAATGTGAGTAGATAAATCGGTACGGCTTAAGGAGGGAGATATTTGGGGCACTTATAAGGAAAGGGCCGGGCTTTAGCGCAGCAGGTTTATCTTCCTTTCTGCTCGTAATGGGGTCCACTCTCACCTACGAATATTGTATTTTAGTCGTGGGAAACACGGGAGGGAAAGAAGCGACCTCTCCTCGTCAATAGGGAGGTGTTTTTGGCATGTTTTGGCTTGACCTGGGTTTGCTCCTTTGTTCGTGCTGTAACTTTGCCTCCTCTCGTTGGCTCGGTTGCTTTAATTAGGTCTGATGGGTTGCAAGAGTCAATGCAAATCTAGGTCATTGCATATGCAAATGCGCAGCTGTAGTCTTGGCGCATGCCAGAGTGGATCAGCGGAGGCGTCCGGCCCTCGCCCTGCGTTAATGGGCCTTGGCAAGCCGGCTTCCTTGGGTTGGGACACACCGAACGGAGTGCGAAACCCACATGCAGGAAACTCCGGCGCTGCTGCCGCGACGTGTTTTTCCATGCGCAAGAGACACCCAGCTAGCAGACGTCTTCGTTATTTACAGCATTGATTCGTCATCAACTGCGATAGTGTTTGTGTTCTGCATTTTAGACTTTGAATCATAACTGTACTATTTTAACGTGACCTTGTTAGAAATCATAGCCTTTTGGGGAAAGTGATGCCATTACCTTTTGGGAAATGGATATCTCGATAACCTTTTGGAAAATTTATTCATTTATTTATTTATGTACGATATTTATCTATGCAGGATATATATTTATTTACGATATTTCTAATTAAATATCGTAAAGAAAATGGCATTCTCCTCCCATTTTGGGATAATCAGGAATCTCGCTTGAGTCAAACTTCTCCATAATGCTAAATATTCCCCATCATTCATGCAAAGCAAATAGGTTTCTCAGTTGTTAGACTGAAATGCCATGATATCCCTTGGAACTGTTAGGGACAAAGATATGTCTATACTCATACACACACACGTCTATATAAATAAAATATAATGTTTGTTTGTGGGATTAACATAACTCAAAAACCACTGGACGAATTGACACGAAATTTGGACACATTACACCTCTCAGGCCAATGAGTGACCATCACTCATAACCCCCTCCCCCCAAAACAGCAAAAAGGACTTAAAAACTCCAAAAAGCTAAATGATGAAAAAGCTAAATAATGGTACAGAAAAAAAGAGAAAAAAGAGGGAGGGAAGGAAGGGGAGAAAAAAAGGAAGGAAGGAAGAGGGAAAGAAAAAGAAAAAAGGAAAGAGAGAAGGAAGGAAGGAAAGAGGTAGAGAAGGAAGAAAAACAGAAAGTAGAAGGAAAAGAAAAAGGGGAAGGGAAGGAAAGAGGTATAGAAGGAAGGAAGGAGAGAAGGAAGGAAAAAAGGAAAGGAAGGAAAGAGGGAGTGAAGGAAGGAGGGAAAGAGGGAGGGAAGGAAAGAGAAGGAAAGATGAAAACAAGCAAAGGAAGGAAGGAAAGAGGTAGAGAAGGAAGAAAGGAGAGAAAGAGGAAGAGAAGGAAAGAGGTAGAGAAGGAAGGAGGGAGAGAAGGAAGGAAAAAAGGAAAGGAGGGAAAGAGGGAGCAAAGGAAGGAGGGAAAGAAGGAGAGAAAGAGGGAGGGAAGGAAAGAGAGAAGGAAGGATGAAAACAAAAAGCGAAAGAAGGGAAGAGGTGGAGAAGGAAGAAAGCAGAGAAAGAGGAAGAGAAAGAAAAAGGGAGGAAGGAAGGAAAGAGAGAAGGAAGGAAGGAAGGAGAGAAGGAAGGAAAAAAGGAAAGGAAGGAAAGAGGGAGTGAAGGAAGGAGGGAAAGAAGGAGAGAAAGAGGGAAGGAAAGAGAGAAGGAAAGATGAAAACAAGCAAAGGAAGGAAGGAAAGAGGTAGAGAAGGAAGAAAGGAGAGAAAGAAGAAGAGAAGGAAAGAGGGAGAGAAGGAAGGGGATAAGGAAGGAAAAAAGGAAAGGGAAAGAGGAAAAGAAGAGAGAAAGGAAGAAGAGGAGGGAAGAGAGAAAGAAGAAGGAGAAAAAGAAAAGAAAGAAAGGGAAGGGGAGAGAGGAAGAAATAGAAGAGGAAGAAAAGAAAAAGAGGAAGGAAGGAAGAAGAGAAGAGGAAGAAGGAAGGAAGAGGAAGGAAGGAAAAAGGAAGGAAGGAAAGAGGGAGGAAGGAAGGAGGGAAAGAGGGAGGGAAGGAAGAGAAGGAAAGAGAAAAAGAAAGGAAGGAAGAAGAGGGAGAAGGAAGAAAGGGAGAAAGAGGAAGAAGGAGAGAGAGAAGAAGGAGGAGAGAAGGAAGGAAAAGGAAAGGAGGGAAGGAAAGGAAGAGGGAGAAGGAGAGAAAGAGAGAAGGAAGAGGAAGGAGGGAAGAAAGGAAAGAGGAAGAGGGAAAAGAAGAGAAGAGGAGAGAAAAAGGGAGGAAGGAAAGAGAGAGAAGAGGAGGAAGGAAGGAGAGAAGAGGAAAAGGAAAGAAGAAAGAGGAAGGAAGGAAGGAAAGAAGGAGAGAGAGGGAAGGAAAAGAAAGGGAGAGGAAAGAAAGGAAGGAAGGAAAGGGAGGAAGAAAGGAAGAAAAAGAGAGAAGAAAGGAGGAAGAGAAAGGAAAAGAAGGAAGAGAAAAGAGGAAAGAAGAAAGAGGGAGGAAAGAGAAGAGGGGAGGGGGAGGCGTGTATTGTGCTGATTGGTGGCTTTCCTTTTCCAGCAGAGACATTTGACCACCTACCCATACCGCTGCACCTTGGCAGACTTTCAGATCGAAAAGAAGATCGGAAGGGGTCAGTTCAGCGAAGTCTACAAGGCCACCTGCCTTCTGGACAGGAAACCAGTGGCGCTCAAGAAAGTGCAGGTGAGATTGGAGTGGTCAAGGCAGGCGGGCAGAATGTCCAGCGCTGGCATACATGGGCCAGAGGGTATCCCCTTCTCTTTTGACATTCCTGGTTCAGTCCTTCCTCTTTGATTTTGCGTTCTCTCCCCGTCCGGGGTGTTGCCATATTCACTCGAGTCTCATGCGCCGTTGAGTCTAATGCTAGCTTGGCAGGAGCTGGGCCTAACAGCAGGAGCTCATGCCGCTCCCCAAATTCGAACCTGTGACCTTTCGGTAAGCAAGTTCAGCAGCTCAGGCATGAAGCAGCTGGATCTTGAAAACTGCTAGGTAGATCAATAGGTACTGCTCTCACGGGAAGGTAGTGACGCTCCATCCCACATGACCTTGGAGGTGTCTATGGACAATGCAGGCTCCTTCAGCATAGAAATGGAGATGAAAATGGGGAATTCCAGACAAAAAACAACCAGGGCCAGCTAATCACCTCCCAACAAAGGATTCCCCCTCGCAGTAAGAAGCCAGATCTTGAAACTGCTAAGCCATTGAAAGCTAATCAAGGTGGTCAATGGCAACATTCACACCTCCCTCCAACAGACAAGATAATAATAATAATAATAATAATAATAATAATAATAATAATAATACTTTATTTGTCCCCCGCTACCATCTCCCCAAGGGACTCGGTGCGGCTTACAGGAGGCCGAGCCCACAATACAACAATAAACAATAACAACAATAATACAAAACAATAAATAACTCATAAGCAAAAATAAGCAAGAGTTCTTTCTCCCACCCTGGATGTTATTCCGCAGATATGCAAACCCCATTTTCCTAGTTTCCAACAAACCTCAGAACCTCTGAGGATGCCTGCCATAGATGCAGGCGAAATGTCAGGAGAGAATGCTTCTGGATCATGGCCAGGCATCCCCGAAAACACACAACAACCCAGACTGACAAGTCTCGATGGTGATCCAGAAAGGAGGGAAGGCTAGTTTGGGTTGCTCTAGAAGAGAATGTGAATAATTTCTTCCTCCTTCTTCCTTTTTTTCCTCTCCTTCAAGATATTTGAAATGATGGATGCCAAGGCGAGACAAGATTGCATCAAAGAAATAGACCTTTTGAAGGTAAGAAGGAGGCTTCCAACTCTTGGATATATTCAGGGTGCGAGAGAGAGAGAGAGAGAGAATGGGTCCAGACGATTGCTTCCCATTGTAACCTCAGGGAAACCAGGCTCGTGCAGAATCGGTCTTTGATTCCACTTCTGTTTGCATTTTGAACAAGGAAGGATGTTGTGAAAGAGCAGGAGCTGACTCTTTCCAAGAGAACGATGGGTTCTTCTCCCTCGCTGGAGTGGTCTGCATGGCTTGAGAGATAGATAGAGGCTGATGAAATAGGGTTATGTAAGTGCTACACTATCGGAGATGCATAAGCTTCAGTCTAAGAGAGAGAAAGATATGGAGTATGATAGTAATAATATACTAATATATACAATATATATTATGTATTATATGTTATATATTATCAGTGAAACAACTGATATCATATGAAAGCTGACTGGCACAACCTGGGGATCACAACCAGGCACAGTGAAGACACCTGCCCTTGCGCTGTGCTACTCTGCTGCTGAGTGTGCATGCCCAGTGTGGAACACATCTCACCATGCTCAAACAGTGGGTGTGGCTCTGAATGAGACATGCTGCATTATCATGGGGTGCCTGCGCCCCACACCACTGGAGAAACGACACTGCTTAGCCGGTATTGCACCTCCTGACATCCGCCGGGAAGGAGCAGCCAATAGTGAAAGGACCAAGGCAGAGACATCTCCAGCTCATCCCTTGTTTGGGTATCAGCCAGCACGTCAACGACTTAAATCAAGACATAGTTTTCTAAGATCTACAAAGGACAAAAGGGAGAAAGGGAAGGGTGGAAGGAGAAACAGGGATGGAGGGAAGGAGGGAGGAAAGAAGGAAGGAAGGATGGATGGATGGAAGGGAAAGGAGGAAGGAAAGAGAGAAGGAAGGAAGGAGAGGGAGGGAAGGAGGGACACTCGTTGGAACACCCCAGCAAGCGAGAGTCCAAAAGTGGCAGGCTCAAACTCAGCACCTCAATCCATGGCTGATACCAAAGGAGAGACTCCCCCTTGGGCACACAGAAGAAGACTGGGCGACTTGGAAGGTGCTGAACAGACTGCGCTCTGGCCCCACGAGATGCAGAGCCAACCTCAAGAAATGGGGCCACAAAGTGGAATCCTCGATATGCGAATGTGGAGAAGAGCCAACCACTGACCACCTGCTGCAATGCACCCTGAGCCCTGCCACATGCACAAGGGAGGACCTTCTTGCGGCAACACCAGAGGCACTCCAAGGGGACAGAGACTGGTCAAAGGACATTTAACCAACTTCCAAACTCACAAATGCTGTATTTTCTCTGTTTGTTTGCTTTGTTCTGTTAGAAATGTAATATAATTGACTGGTTAATCTGACACGACAAATAAATAACCACATTGTTGGCTCATGTTCAGCTTGTGGCCTGCTCAGACTCCTAGATCTTCCTGCTCTCGCAATAGGAGAGCTGACCAGGTGTACCTTCTCCTCCCCCAGTTGGGGGTCTTTGTATTGTGACCCTACCCAAGTGTTAGGACCCGATGCAGCTGTGTGGGTCGCTTAGCCGTAAGACCAGCGTATTGTGTGTTGAGTGTTGCCTGCGAAGCAGCGAGTGAAGAAGGAGCGAGGCGTGCCAAGGCCCGCAAGGCGGAGGCGGCCTGATCCCCGTGCCAAAGAAGGCGTGCGGAAAGGGCGAGGGAGGCCCGGCCATACGGTGCTGGATGTATCCAGGGCATGCTGTCCACACGCGTTAGGCTCAAGGGTGAGTGGAGTCCACACAGTGGGCCAGACAGGCGGATCAGGGCGGTCAATTAGAATCTCCCCCGTAGAAGATGTCCAGGGGCAACGGCAGATCTTCCCAGATCAAACTCACTCGGGAGCCAGATGTTAAGCTGTGAACATTGCATTAGCCGGGCTGTGAAGAGACAAATGAGGGGAGATGATACGCCGGCGTAATTAGCACTTCGCTCCCCCTCCGTCCTTGGCTTTCCCTTGCAAATGGGTTTTGAAGCAAATTAAAGGGAGCTCATGTTGCAGGAGGAAAGGAAGGACGTCCTGATTATCAGAGCTCTTCCACATTGGAAAATGCTGCCTGGGAGTCCGGCAGAGCCTCCTTCTCGAGGTTTGTAAGCAGAGGCTGGTGGGCCATCTGTCGGGAGGGCTTTGATTGTGTTTTCCAGCCTGGCTAAAGGGGGCTGGGCTGGATGGCCCTTGGAGTCTCCTTCAACTCTATGGGCAGGTGGAGCAATGCCAGTCTTATCTAAATTAAAGAGATTGAAGGCAGCATTTTCTTTGGGAATGTCCCAACACACCTTAGATTTAGGTAAGATCCAGTGAATAATCCACTAAATACAACCTGGGGGTCTCCCCGTACTTTCTCAAACTGGGGGTCGGGACCCCTGAGGGGGTCGTGAGGAGATGTCAAAGGGGTCACCAAAGGCCATCAGAAAACATAGTATTTTCTGTTGGGATTCCATGTGGGAAGTTTGACCCAATTCTATTGTTGGTTGAGTTCAGAATGCTCTTTGATCGTAGGTGAACTATAAATCCCAACGACTACAACTCCAAAAAAGACCGAATACTTTGTTGGAAAGCGATACGAAAAATGACTGAAAACCATCCCTGCTGGTCCAGTGTTTTGCACGGCTGCCGCTCGGAGCACGGTCGAGAGTCAGTTTGATCAGTCATATTGTGTTGCAAATGCACACGGGATCTATTAGCCGGTGCTGCCCATCGGGCATTCCTTTCAAGTGTATCCCAAGTTTTGGAATGAGAGATCCAAGCACATATGACAGATTTTGCCCAAGGTATGGAGAATTCAGCTCCGAAAAAAGCTGAGCCTATCACACGGAGATCCGAGTGCCGAGAAGGGGTTTTTAATAACACGATGTGGGTCAGCACTTTCTGGTAATTTGGTGCAGGTGTGCCAGGGTCTCCCCTCGGAGTCTCGCAGGGCAGAGTTGTTCAAGGTTGTGTTTCGAGATGGATTGCTTTGGCCTGTCTGTCAACACGGCTCTGCCTGCGTTCAGTCCCGCGCAGCTAATAACTTGTCAAATCAATATCTGCAACTCATCTCTGGTTAATTGATAGCCCCCCTGACGATTGCTCTTTCGTATGCAGACGGGTGGCTTTTGCAACTCTATGCAAATGCTTTGCGCTAGTGTGCAAACTCAGAGGAAGGGAAGATGCACAACTCCCTCTTTTGCATCCTCTGCATAATCAAGATCAGGTCAATGTCACCTGCGGAGAAGCACGGGGCAACCACCATTGCACAGCACACATACCAAACACTATCTATCTATCTATCTATCTATCTATCTATCTATCTATCTATCTATCTATCTATCCATCCATCCATCCATCCATCCATCCATCCATCCATCCATCCATCCATCCATGATGGGTGTATGTGCCACGCTTGGTCCAGATTCATCAGCAGTGGGGGTCTCATGGCTCTCTGGATGTGATAAATACATACATGCATACATACATACATACATATGTATTTTAGATAGATAGATAGATAGATAGATAGATAGATAGATAGATAGTAGAGATGATGGATGGATGGATGGAGAGAGAGAGAGAGAGAGATAGATGATAGATAGATAGTAGGCTTGGGTAACCATGGAAAAATTTGGTTCTAAACTCGTTTTGTTTTTAGGGGGACCTTGCGTTTCGTTTTTTTTTAAGAATTCCGAAATTTTCCTTTAAAAATTTTAGAAATTTACAAAATTTTGTAAAATTACGAATCGATTCGTTAATGGCGGACGAGATTGCGCAATATGCTAAAAAAAACCTCCAAATGGGACAGGAGGAACTTCTGAAGCTTCTTCCCTCTCCCTCTGTTGTTGACTGCTGGTGTGATAAAACAAACAACTATAAAACTTGCACCAGACATGCAAAAATAATTACGAAAAAATTACAAAATAATTTCGAAATAATTACGAAATAAATTGAAAAAAATTGTTTCGAATCTTTATTACTCCTCACACAATTCCTGCATGGCTCAATATTGGATCGTAAGCTAATTTAAATACGAATTAATAACGAATTACGAAATAAACGAACGAAACTGCCCAAGCCTAATAGATAGGTGGGTGTGTTTGGAGCAAAAGCATCCACCTCTTTGTCTCTGTCGTTACCTCCTAAACGTTCCCCTCCTGAAATGCATCCCTTCTCATTTGGATGGAATGGAAATGAGAGTGCCGGGAAGAGTCGGAATGGTGCGCGGAGAGATGGTGCGCCCGCGCCGCGGAGCTAATGAAGCGGCGTCCTGGCAGCATGGGCCCTTCCAGTTAGTGGCTGCCTGCCTCTTGGCATGCCTCTCCCTGACAGCCTTGCTCTGCATACACATCAGGCAGTCAGGGCGCCCATCAAACTTTTAGGCGGCATTAAAGAAATGAGGAAGGGATGCCGCAGAAGAGTGTTTATGCGCATTTACAAATAAGCCGGAGTGAAGGCTCTGCCTCCGTCGTCGTCGTTGTCGTCGCTCTTCCTCTTCTGTCAAAAGGCAGGCGTTCCAAATGAGCCTCTTGAGAGGCGCGCATTGCCCTTCCTGCGCATAAGCCAGGCACGGCGGGGGAAAGAGATAGCGCTTGGCCTGGAACATTGGCATTGCATCCAAGAGGCCAGTCTTTCTCAACCTGGGGGTCAGGACCCCTGCAGGGGTTGCTAGGGGGTGTCAGAAGGGTCACCAAAGAACATCAGAAAACACATCAGAAATCTATGGATCCTTGCCATAGATGCAGGCGAAATGTCAGGAGAAAATGCCTCTAGAACATGGCCATATAACCCGGAAAAACCTACAACAACACAGTGATTTCGGCCATGAAAACTTTTGACAATACACAGTATTTTTGTTGCTTATGGGGGTTCTGTGTGGGAAGTTTGGCCCAATTCCATCGTTGGTGGGGTTCAGAATGCTTTTTGATTATAGGCGAACTATAAATCCCAGCAAATGCAACTCCCAAATGTCAAGGACTGTTTTCCCCAAACTCCACCAATGTTTTCTTTTGGGCATATTGAGTATCCGTGCCAAGTTTGGTCCAAATCCATCACTGTTTGAGTCCACAGTGCTCTCTGGATATAAGTGAATGAACTACAACTCCCAAATGTCAAGGTCAATGCCCACCAAACCTTTCCAGTATTTTCTGTTGATTGTGGGAGTTCTGTGTGGCAAGTTTGGTCCAATTCCATTGTTGGTGGAGTTCAGAATGCTCTTTGATTATAGGCGAACTATAAATCCCAGCAACTGCAACTCCCAAATGTCAAGGACTATTTCCCCCCAAACTCCACCACTGTTTTCTTTTGGGCATAATAAGTATACGTGCCAAGTTTGGTCCAAATCCATCACTGTTTGATTCCACAGTGCTCACTGGATGTAGGTGAATGAACTACGACTCCCAAACTCAAGGTCAATGCCCACCAAACCTTTCCAGTATTTTCTGTTGATTGTGGGAGTTCTGTGTGGCAAGTTTGGTTCAATTCCATCGTTGGAGGGGTTCAGAATGTTTTTTGATTGTAGGCGAACTATAAATCCCAGCAACTGCAACTCCCAAATGTCAAGGTCTATTTCCCCCCAATCTCCACCAGTTTTTACATTACGGCATATTGTGTATCCATGCCAAGTTTGGTCCAGATTCATCACTGTTTGAGTCCACAGTGGATGTAGGTGAACTACAACTCCCAAACTCAAGGTCAATGCCCACCAAAACTTTCCAGTATTTTCTCTTGATCATGGGAGTTCTGTGTGCCAAGTTTGGTTCAATTCCGTCGTCGGTGGAGTTCAGAATGCTCTTTGATTGTAGGCGAACTATAAATCCCAGCAACTGCAACTCCCAAATGTCAAGGACTATTTCCCCCCAAACTCCACCAGTGTTTTCTTTTGGGCATATTGAGTATCCGTGCCTAGTTTGGTCCAGATCCATCACTGTTTGAGTCCATAGTGCTCTCTGGATATAAGTGAATGAACTACAACTCCCAAACTCAAGGTCAATGCCCACCAATGCCCTCCCAAACTCCACCAGTGTTCACATTTGGGCATACGGAATATTTGTGCCAAGATTGGGGGGGGGGGGGGGAATTGATTTTGTCATTTGGGAGTTGTAGTTGCTGGGATTTATAGTTCTCCTACAATCAGAGCATTGTGGCCCCCACCAACGATAGAAGAAGTGTTAATTCTCTGCAAAAATTAACCCTTCCCTGGTCTCTTTTCAGGTGACTCTTGCCTCACCTGCACCTGCTTCTCTGTGTATCTTCAGGCCATGTCTGCATGCCGTATACTCATGCCAAGATGTGCCCCCCCCCCCCCCCCGCTTGTGTATTTGCAGCAACTGAACCACCCCAACATCATCAAGTATTTGGATTCCTTTATCGAGGACAATGAGCTCAACATTGTACTGGAACTGGCCGATGCAGGTGACCTCTCTCAGATGATTAAGGTAAGGGGCTGGGCACCCATTCCTGGATTGATTCATTGTGAGTGTATTGACTTATTCATGTATTACTGGCATTTGTACCCCGCTCTCTTCTCTACTCCCGAAGCAGCAAGACCGCTGCATCACACTTACAGTAATATGACACAATCAAATACAAAACAATCATTAAAAGCAATACATATAACATTAATTAAAACAAGACAACGAAGTCACAACGTCATCTGCTGCAACACCATTCCAATGTCCATTATGGTGCAATTACGTCTGCTGCCCAAAGGCCTGGTCCCAAAGTCACAATTTTGATTTTTTTCCCTGAAGGTCAGCAGGGATGGAGCTGATCTTATTTCAGTTGGGAGTGCATTCCATAGGGGTGGGGGGCCACAGCCGAGAAGGCCCTGTCTCTCATCCCCGCGATGTTGACGGAAGCGAGAGCAGGGCTGCCCCGGATGATCTTAGGTTGCGGGATGGGACGTAGGGGCAGATGCATTCGGACAAGGAAGCTGGGCCAGAACCGTCTAGAGCAGGGGTAGGGAACCTTTGGCCCTCCAGCTGTGGTGGACTTCAACTCCCACAATTCCTTGAGGCTCGGCATTGGGCCAAGGTAAGCCTTTGGGGCGAATACCAAGCCTCAAGGAATTGTGGGAGTTGAAGTCCACCACAGCTGGAGGGCCAAAGGTTCCCTACCCCTGGTCTAGAGCTTTAGAGGTCAAAACCAGCACTTTGAATTGGGCTCGGAGGTGGACCGGCAGCCAGTGGAGCTGGCATAGCCAGGGGATGGTATGTTCCCTGTATGTTGCCCCGGTTAGTAATCTGGCTGCCTCCCGTTGGACTAGCCGGAGTTTCCGAACAGTCTTCAAAGGCAGCCCCACGTAGAGTGTGTGGCAGTAATCTATTCAGGATGTAATCAGAGCCAAACTATATTGGAAAGGGATACAGGAAAAATTACAAAGCATATTGAAGATTAAAATACCATTCCGTCCGGAAATATTTTTTGTTGGGAATTACAGATGAGAAAATGGATCATAATATAGACAAACTCTTACTCCTCACCACAACGGCAGCAAGAATATGCTACGCCAGAAATGGGAGGAAAAAAGAGAGACCCAAGATAGAGGACTGGGAAGTGAAACTCATGGAAGTGAAAAACATGGATAGATTAAGCTATCTAATTCAGAAATACAAAGGCCTAGCAGAGAATGAAACAGACTGGACATTGATAGATGAACATTTGAAATAGAAATGAACTAAAGCAGAAATTGGGCAGGGAGGAAATCAGATTCATTAATCAAGGAAAACAAAAGAAGGAAGAATGGAAAGAAAGAAAGAAAGAAAGAAAGAAAGAAAGAAAGAAAGAAAGAAAGAAAGAAAGAAAGAAAGAAAGAAAGAAAGAAAAGGAAAACCTCATCGAAGACACCGGGAAGCCAGACCAAAGGAAGACTGAACTTTTGTTCTTTGTTCTTTTTCCTTTGCACATATACTTTTCCCCACCTCGTAACCATCTCCCCCTCCCTAGTTTCTTTCCCTCCTCCTTTTCTACCTTATTTCTTCTTCTTCTCTGCTTTTTGACTTGTTTTTAAATGACTATTTTTAACTATATGTACCAATAGAAAAGATAATTTTGTTGTTGTTCATTCATTCAGTCGTCTCGACTCTTCGTGACCTCATGGACCAGCCCACGCCAGAGCTCCCTGTCGGCCGTCACCACCCCCAGGGTCTCCTTCAAGGTCAGTCCAGTCACTTCAAGGATGCCATCCATCCATCTTGCCCTTGGTCGGCCCCTCTTCCTTTTGCCTTCCACTTTCCCCAGCATCATTGTCTTCTCTAGGCTTTGCTGTCTCCTCATGATGTGGTCAAAGGACTTCCACTTTGTCTCTAGTCTCCTTCCCTCCAGTGAGCAGCCGGGCTTTATTTCCTGGAGGATGGACTGGTTGGATCTTCTTGCAGTCCAAGGCACTCTCAACTTTCCTCCAGCACCACAGTTCAAAAGCATCTATCTTCCTTCGCTCAGCCTTCCCTATGGTCCAGCTCTCACATCCGTAGGTGACTATGGGGAATACCATTGCTTTAACTATGCGGATCTTCGTTGCCAGTGTGATGTCTCTACTCTTCACTATTTTATCGAGATTGGACATTGCTCTCCTCCCAAGAAGTAAGCGTCTCCTGATTTCCTGGCTGCAGTCTGCATCTGCAGTAATCTTTGCACCTAGAAATACAAAGTCTGTCACGGCCTCCACATTTTCTCCCTCTATTTCCCAGTTGTCAATCATTCTTGTTGCCTTAATCTTGGTTTTTTTGACGTTTAGCTGCAACCCAGCTTTTGCGCTTTCTTCTTTCACCTTGATTAGAAGGCTCCTCAGCTCCTCCTCGCTTTCGGCCATCAGAGTGGTGTCATCTGCATATCTGAGGTTGTTAATGTTTCTTCCAGCCATTTTCACCCCAGCCTTGCATTCATCAAGCCCCGCACATCCTCGCATGATGTGTTCTGCATACAAGTTAAAAAGGTTGGGTGAGAGGATGCAGCCTTGCCGTACGCCTTTCCCAATCTTGAACCAGTCTGTTGTTCCGTGGTCAGTTCTGACTGTTGCTACTTGGTCCTTGTACAGATTCCTCAGGAGAGAGGGAAGGGGGCTTGGGATGCCCATCCCACCCAGAACTTGCCACCATTTATTATGATCCACACAGTCAAAGGCTTTAGAATAGTCAATGAAGCAGAAGTAGATGTTTTTCTGAAACTCCCTGCCTTTCTCCATTCTCCAGCGGATATTGGCAATCTGGTCTCTGGTTCCTCTGCCTTTTCTAAACCCAGCTTGAACATCTGGCACCTCTCTCTCCATGTCTTGCTGGAGTCTTCTTCCTTGCAGGATCTGGAGCATTCCCTTCCTGGATGATGAGAAATAAGGGCCACTGTACGGAAGTTGGAGCAGTCTTTTGCATTTCCCTTTTTTGGTATGGGGATAGAAGTTGATTTTTTCCAGTCTGATGGCCATTAAGGGTTAAAGCTCCCCTTGGCCACCACCAAAACCTGGGGTTCCAGGCTCAGCGATGAGTCCAGGAGAACTCCCAAGCTGTGAACCTGCGTCTTCAGGGGGAGTGGAACCCCGTCCAACACAGGCTGTCACCCTAGGCCCTGTTTGGCCTTGCGACTGACCAGGAGGACCTCTGTCTTGTCTGGATTCAGTTTCAATTTGTTTGCCCTCACCCAGTCCTCATCTGCCAAGCACCGGTTCAACAGCCTCCTTAGTGACAGGTGGAAAGGGGTGACAGAGTTGGACGTCATCTGCGTACAGATAACACCTTATTCCAAAACTCCGGATGATCTCCCCCAGCGGCTTCATGTAGATGTTAAATAATATATTTAAATATATTTATTTAATATATTTAAAAACACAAACAAAGTTCAAAACTTGGCATTATGCTAGATGTCCTTTGGCCACTTGGAGTGCCTTTGGTGTGGCTGTGAGAATACCCTCCGTGATGCATGTGGCAAGACCCGGGCCGCATTGTCGTCAGTGCTCTGTGGCTTGCTCTGATGCTCGACAAGGACTTTTTGTTGTGAAGCATCTCCTGGAAGCCTTTCCTTGCTGCCTCTTGACCTCAGACAGCAAGAGACCTGCCATGTTTGGGCTCTTTCCTTAGCCTGGTGCGGCCAGAAAGAGAGTCGCTTTGGCTCAGCTGCGATCACCTGGTTTGCAGTCGTTCCTTTGACATGTGAATCTGGAGCCAGGCATCCCCCTGTGAGAACAGATGTGGCCTCTCGCCTTGCCTCCTGTTTTGCCGCCACGGAGCTCAGATTAGGGTAAATGATCGCTTTGGAAGGCTTGCCACCTCTCCCTCCTTCTTCTTCTTCTTTTGCAAAGAAGGAAAGCGAAGGGAAGCCCAGCTTTTCATCAAGAGCCTGCTTTCTCTCCTTGGTGCCAGGCATAGAGTATCCCAGCCCTGTGGATTTTCTTAGTGGGTTTGTAGTGTTTTTGGAAAGGGTTCATGATGTTTTCAGTGACCCAAAGCCTCTACTCTCCTTGTTGAACGTAACAGCTGACCTCCGTGCTCCTGATCGGAAGAATACATCATGAACCCTTTCCAAATAAAAACACTACAAACCCACTAAGAAAATCCAACCAATGCTGTTCCGCAAAGGACAAGAGGGATCCTCTCACTTCTGCAGGAGTCTACCACATACAGTGCAACTGTGGACAAGTCTACAGAGGGACCACCCAACGCAGCGTTGCCCAAACACGAATCAAGGAACCTGAAAAGCTCTGCAGACTACTAGTAGAGCACCTGAGGAACCAACCTGGACACAGCATATTATTGGAGGACACAGAAATGCTGGACCACTCTCACAACCACCAGGTCGGACAACACAGAGAAGCCATTGACATCCATGAGAGATGCTGCATTATCACAGGATGCCTCTGCCCAACACCGCTGGAGGAATTATACTGTTTTGCCAGTATTGCTCCAGCTGATATCCACCAGGAAGTATCAGCCAGCAATGAAAGGACATCTCCAGCCCATCCTCTGTCCATCAAGACAATGCCTTAAATCAAGAAATAGTTTTATAAGATCTGGAGAGATACTCGCAGGAACATCTCAGCAAGTGAGAGTCCAAAAGTGGCAGCCTAAAACTGGGAATCTCAATCAGTGGCTGAGACCAAATGAGAAATTCCCTCCTGGGCACATAGAAGATGGGGCGACTTGGAAGGCGCTAAACAGACTGCACTCTGGCACCACGAGATGCAGAGCCAACCTTAAGAAACGGGGTCACAAAGTGGAGTCCATGACATGCAAGTGTGGAGAAGAGCAACCCACAGACCACCTGCTGCAATGCAGTGTGTGTCAGGATTAATTTAGTTATGTATGTGTTTTAAATGTGCTTCTATGTATTTCCAAGATGGATTCCACTGTGTATTAGAAATGCTGTGCAGAATGTTTATTCTATGAGGCTGTGATTAAGTAAACTTGAGAAGTAAGGTAAGGTTTGCTCTTGCTGGGAACAGAAGGGA